TGCATTTGAGGTTTGTATCATTTCTAAGTGGTGTACACTACACTACACATGCAGATGCACTCACCAAATTTCTCATAAAATGCCAAGAGTTAATTTTATAACCTAAAAAAAGAAAGCATTAGTTTTACTTGCCATGATGATGCATTTGAAATGTGTATATATATGTATAAATACGTGTGCCTATTTTTTTGTTTGATGCAAGACTGTGGTCTTTCTCTATGAACACATCATTGTCAAGATAAAAAAACTAACTGCGAAACTTCATTTGTTGCACTTACCATGATACTAACTGCGAAGTTGATAATTATTAAAATTCAGAATCCGTTTTTACGCAATCTGGGAAGTTCGAATTACTAAACGGAGTACATGGCGACGAATCTGAAATATCCAAGAAACAGCACATACCAAAAATTATATCTTAAAAGGAAATATTCGTGGTGTATTTTAAGTCTAACTGGGTCGGAAGTGGGGATTTGTTACTACTCTAAATATCCAAACATATTTTAGTATAAGGTAGTAATTCTTGTGTCACATCTTTTAAAAATATGTGTTTTAATGTACTAGTTATCTTGAACAACTCACGTGAACAGTATATAGTTCGGTTGAGTGTGACGTGGTTTGTGTCGCTTTTGTAAAGTTGAAGGCTTATGTTGGAAGTCCTATCGCATATAACACACTTTGGTTGAAACTGTCACCAATAAACTCAATTATAAATTATTGCTAACATTTAATAAAGAACAATATGTTTCTACTAGCAGCAATGAAACAAACTAAATCATAAAACATATTTTGTAAACACAGTTCATTATATCATCGCAGTTAACGGCATTTGTTGAAATACATAAAACATATAAAATATATAAGGTAATCCAGTAAACAATCAATTGAATGCTGGTTGAGAACGACCTCCAGGGAATTTTACTACATGAAGTACCAAGTGGCACAACGTACGACAGAGATAAAAATGACAGAGAAAAAGCCAGGTGTACCTGTCTAAGATAGATAGTACTGCCTATCTATGCACCAGCTGGAACGGACATCACGTACTGTTACACGGGTTCATTGTAAGAATTCTTTATTATGTATTTATCAAAAGATGACATTTGATACAAAGAGCATAGAAAGCATTATGGTATATACATTTGCTCGTGTCTGTCTCTGAATATCTACAAGTTGTAATTATTGCAATTTAACTGTAACCCAAGTATTATTAATGTATCAAAACTATACTGCATTTTATATCAGAACACACCACAACACAAAAAAGATTGTCAATGAATTTCGGATATAGTTACACACAAACCTATCATTACTCAAACATCCAAAAACACTCTACGAACAGTAAATTTACCCTGGAGAACAATTAATACATTATTTAATGGTTTAATATTGGTCATTATACTACTTTAGTCGATGATGACTGGTGGAGTTTAGTCAGCTAGTTACACAAAACGGTGTTTTGAATGAGTGAGCCCATTTTTTTTATCCAACTTAGAGACAAACAGCTGCCACGATTTCGACTTTATCTTGGCACCCATTATTCCAAATAGATGGTTACATAAAGCGATAATATAGTGGATGCAATGACTGACCCAATTGGAACACCATACAAGAGACAAAAACGGCCATTTACGTCAGCATTTGTTCAGGACATTTACAGTTGCAACTGCATTTCTGATTAAATAACATACAGTGCCAATGTGTTAGCAGCAGACATTGCCCACGTATATCTGACTAAGATATTATTATCATCTCTTCTGCATATTCGACAGCTGTGCTAATAATAAGAATAATTACACAATCCGTATCGTTGTGAAATCATCTGTCCAGGTCACACGCCAGTGACAATAAAAGCACGTCGCCTTGTGGGCACATTACAGTGGTCCGCAGATACACTCTTCACCTGGTATGTACGCTCTTTTTGTCAAGTCTTTTCTATTCCCATTCCATAGGAATATGTATAATGCGATGTGCTGGTCGAGTGAGTAGACTATCCACGACTTTCTAGTGTATACATTAATCGGATATATATATCGACCCCATACCACATGCAACATACATTTTATAGAACTTATAGTGTGGAGTAACATATTTGATATCCTACTGATTCCAAATATACGTTGCACAGTATTTAAGGTTAAAAACACGGAAGCACGATTTGCGAGATCGTACCTAATACATCTTGGAGCGTCCTATCAATTGCACTAATGTTCATCGATCACAAACACTATGATTACTATGAAATCACCTTCGTCCAATTGTGAATCGTGGTTGTTTCGGGTGCCTACAATAACTTAGAGTTTTAGTGTTGCCTCTCGTGTATGTTGCTTTTACACAACATTTAACATTTTCAACCGACTTTGAAAATCGTCGGGAATATTCAAATAACTACAGTTATGATCAGTCCCTCAATTAAGAACCACCACATATGGCATGTTGTGGAATCATCAAGGTAATTGTGATCGGTTCTAATCGGATTACTAAAATTTGTGAATTTTATCACCCTGAACTACCACCACGAGTCATGTGTGGGTACAAAATTTTCATTCATAATCATGTGTCTTATTGCGAATTCTTAACAATACAATAGTACAGGGGTAATTTGGATTGATGGGCACAAATACAGTTCAATAAAATTTTACGCATATATAGATTGAGACAATATTGCTCACGTTCAATCGTACAGTTTGACGCCACGTATGAACAATTTGAAGCCATACTTTATCAGGTATAATAAACAATTCTGCTTCGTATGGTTATATGTCTCCGGCATATGTCGCTGCAACCCTGCAATAGTTTAGTACTAAACACGGCATTCAACATGCACCAAAATAGATACCCAGTTTATAAGAGGTAAAGGCGATAAAAAAAATGCAATACACATATCACAGCAAGGTCTGTAATAAGAAGAGAGGGAGAAAGATGCATTCGATACTCACATAAATAAAGGGGTCAGAAAAATATTATATTCCATGAGTTGACTAGATTGGTATGACAATTACAAATCTAGTAAGTGTAACCTTATAGCAACATTACTGGGTATGTGTGAAAATATTGAGCAGGGGCGTCATGCGGTTGAACCTCATTTATTAGCTATGATGTCACACAGTATATTTAGTCAATCGTTATTTCGAATTCCAACAATAACCGGGGAGCCTATTATACCATTAGGTGACGACATCTGGGTCACGTAGTACGATGTATTGTTAAATCTTTGAACTACAAATCCAACCACTCAGTATTGTTATCAGTTTATGCTGTTTTAATAAAAATAATAAATAAATACATCTCTCGTGTCAAATTATCTGTGGAATAATATATGTCAGTCTCAGATAGCAGTATTTAAAATCTACTATTGTATAATATAGCTAACAGTTAGTTACGCCATTCATTTCCAAGCAAACATATTCAGATTAGTGTTTGGTTGAAATTCGTGCATACTAATGACCTCATTTGGATATAATTTATCAGATTTTTATTTTTAATTTTCACCTTTTTTGTCAAGGGCCACTGAACATATTTAGTCCCGTTCGGACGCAGGTCGAAATGGGGGACTTATGGATTGAACTGTGTGCGTCCGTGCCTCCGTGTGATCGTGCATCCGTGCGTTCGTGCGTATGCATCCGTGCGCCCGGACCTGTATCTTAGTCATGCCTGGACCAATCACAATCTAACTTCACACATGCATCGTAAATAATACTATACATATGCATATTAATTTGTCTGACGATCTGATTCACGATGGCTGAATGGTGGCCATTTTGTGCAACAAAAACATCAAAGTCAAGCATTCATTGATGTTGGACATTATGGGATCTTGATGCACGTTAATTCATTTTTCAGATCGGGTTTAAAATGGCCGACTGGCGGGCATTTTGTTTTAATGAATGCAGTTTTAGTGCAATATCTCTGCCATGCGTTGACTGATTATGTTAAAATTTTATACATTCATTATACCTCACGACATAGATATATTGGTTTGACTATCTGATTCAAAATGGCCAAATGCCAGCCATTTTTGTGATAACACATCATAACAAATCAAGTATTTCCGGCATTCCAGAACTGGATCTTGGAGTTTATTGATAGATTTTGTTCAAACTTGGTGCATACATTTGAGATTATAGGTTCCTGATACACGTCATTTTATGACGCTGACTGGTGGCCATTTTGTTTTATTGAATGTACTTGTAGAGCCATATATCTGGTATGATTTGACTGGGTACATAGGAACAATGCACAAATCTGATGTTTTTGATTGAAATCGATGATTATAATAACATAATTATAATATTGTTTCTGCCATTTTTAGCTTGTTCACCTATATATCAACTATTCACCATTTTTCAATTTTAATGAATCTTGTACATACTTGCTCCGATATGAGTGATATTCATTTTCATCTTGAGTACTACTCATCAAATTTCATTTAAATTTGGTACATCTGTGCCTTTGGATGATCCACAGATCTAATTACCTAAGGGATGAAGTCCACGCATTTTAATTACCCACCTTGTATAAATGGGTTTATGTGGCAGCATTAATATTCATAAGTGTAATGTCTCAAGCGCTCAATTACAGATAAGGACATGCAACATATACGCGACAATAGAGGCATTTGACAATATATATGACTAACATATCAAATGAACATATATGGTCATACAATTTAATATATGCTAACTGCTCTTGACATGTGACCAGTGTTATATTAGAGAAATTTGATCACTAAGATATTACTAGCATATCACATGTTCATATATGTTTATTGTTCCCTAATTAATATGTCATATTTCAGATAAAGGCAAGTCTGTGGTCAAAATGCGACTTCATAATACTTCTATGATTTGCATGCAATACAAATTTTAATTGGCGTTGCGTCTCTAATATAGCACAGTATTCCATATTTGTACTTATTTGCCTCCAACACACAACAAGAGAGTTCTTTCTCAGCTTTCTTTGATTGAAATATTCTTTTAAAAACATGCATTTGCAGGAAAATGCGTCTTGTGATCTTAATAACGTTGGCAACAGTTGCCACTGCATACGGTTTCGTGGAAGACCAGACTGTTACATGGAATCTTGATCGTATTGATCAAGCAAAAGCTGCATGGCCAAACTGGAATTCCCAAAATGCAAATTATGACCCAATAAGTAAGTATGTTCTATGCGAAGACTATTTACAATGCAACATCAGAAGCCAAACATGTGTACAATTATGTGAGCATTTCCCCCATGTGATGTTAACATTTCGCTAAGATGTGAACAATTATGGAACACGAGCACAATTTAAATTCGTTATATATTTGTTTTAGTCTTACCTGACCGAAAAATTATATTTTTTTTCTGTGGAACTGTTTTGTCGGCCGTTTAGGTGAACAAGTGTTTACTAGATTTTATAATTCAAACGTTCTTGAAAACGTACCAATACAAACTGATGCAGCAAAATTAAAAACATGTCATCATCGGAAAATCTAACAACTGATTGGTCCACTCGTACATGATGCACCTTTCATTTTAACAGTGAAATGTGTCGCTGTATGTATCTCTGTATCTAAGCGATAATTTGACATAAGCTCGGTATTTCATCGTGACTGCATATTTATGACGTCTTCAAAATATCTTAGTGGTATAACAAAGCAACCTGACGTTTGAAAAGTATGCTTGGCAAAGCTTTTTCTCTGGGATATGTTAGCTGTAAACAGAAGACAAATGGCAGACAATTCAGTGATCATAGTTGCATATTTTATTACCCAAGTTGGACATTGATTGATATATATATATAACTACATCCTAAACAAAGCAAACAATTTGATTAGGTGTTTTGAATATATAATGAAAAAAACTTTACACTGTACTTTAACAAAATGATCTGATTAAATCGTTGTTTATTGAACAAACTTTGTATAAGCATATAAACAGTCAAATACAATATAGTATCTGTAGCGCGGGTGTAGTCTCTAAAATACAAAACTGGCTACTCCGGAGCTATGTTATTATCGATTTAATGTCGGTCCAAATATAGTCAAAATTCCTTAATGTTTAGTCAGTAAAATAAGGATGACATTTTTATATATAATTGTATACAAACATTAATTCGGTTTTCAACCAAATCGAAAATGTCTATACATACGTCTTATATAACCTTCCATTTAAATCAGTATTTTCAATACCACGCATATTCTATTACTTTACTGACTTTTAATTCAAAACCGGCACTCAAAATTATCAATATTTAGTAATTTTATATTTTCCAAGTCACACTTAGGACCCTTTGTTAACTTTATCCCAAACTAATATTGCAATATATTTAAATTTTCAGCATCAAAATGAGTGATTTTAATTTTATTTCTATATAACAATATTATTGTTGTTTTCAATGAATGTTTTGTAGGTACTGGTGCAGGCAGTGTAGTTTACATTCTCAGTACTGGAATACAGGGCTCACATAATAATTTTGGTCCAGGAACTATACGTCAGAATATAATATACGATTTCGATTCAAACAATATGGTAGGTTACAGGCAGGAAATAGTTTGTTTTCATTAGTATTATTTTAGTCAACAGAGTAGGAAAGCGTAGCACATTGATGACTTATCACAGTCGCACGTGATGTATACATAAATTAACATTGACCTTCAAACAATTGAAAGTTGACGTCAATGGCCGCCTAGATTTCGTTATCCGTTTTATATCCTCCCAAGTGATACAATAATGATGTATAAGCCAAATAATCACGTTGTTTACGTAGTTATTTGTACTGCAAATTCTTGAGCATGGGATTAAATTTCTACTGATAGTTGCTGGTGTCAAGATAAATAAAAAACTATAACAAAGTCTATATCCACACACACCGAGAGTCTCCGGTAATATTTGCATTTAACTCGCATCTCACTGTTCCAAACCATATGTAGTCCATATAATTCAAACCTTAAATGCTGCTAATAGACATCGGTATTGATAACTTTTTTGCAGCCTCAAGGTGCTGATACACATGGTCGTGGTACAGCGTTGGCTGGCGTGGTTGGTGGGTCATATACAGGAGTTGCCATTGATATCGAAATCGCTATTGTTAGAATAGCTGCAGATCCGACTTCTGCAAACATTACACATGTTCTGCAAGGTAAATAATTACTTATATACGTAAGTATGTACAATTCATTTCATTCCATGACACGATATATAACATATTCCGTCAATAATTGTATTGGAACCATCTGTTCACGTAAATGGGTGAAAAGAAAAATCCGTTGACAGTGACAATATGTTGATCTAAAGTTACTGTTAATTGGAAAATAAATAACAATGCACTGCAAAATATTGCGGAACAGCAAGGCAAGAACGTTGATATGTGTAAAAGTGAGCCGTAATAATTATACTTTTTTCTTACCGCGTCAATACACTTAAATTTCAGTAATTGACATAAGAATTAGTGCAATCCAATTTTTTATATAACATTTTGCTTGTACAAAATTTACCAACTTATATATTCTACCTTTATTCTAGGGATGCAAGCAATCCTTGATGACTATAAATTTAGGAAACAATATAATCCTACAAATTATTTGCGTGGAGTCGCCCTCGGGAGTGTATCACTTGATGTCAGAACTAACCCAGCAGATGCAGATGATATAGAGAACCTCATGCTTCAACTGGTAGCTGAAGACCTAGTAGTTATTGGCGGTGTTGGCGATGATGATAAGGTAGACTGCTTGGACTTGACACCAGCCAGACTGTATACAGATAACAGTGTGAGTCAATTAAGTCCGCTGAGGAACCTTTCACATCTACTTTCAATTGTGTGACGGAACACGTGTCAATTATCAAAATTTACTCTCGGGCATCCATAGACAATTGAAAATTAATAAATGAAGATTTTAGTAGGCAGTGAAAATTTATTCAAACATAGTTTATAATTGACTTCTTAGGTCATTTTCAAAATCATGACATCATGCCAAAAACACACTTGATCTAATTTTTTATGTTGACTTTTTTATATCGATTAACTCGTGTGCACTCCAAATGTGAGACATTGCAGTGTAAAAAAAAATATGTGTTTACTTCGACTCTGGTGGTGGCGTTACTTCGCGTCTTCTACTGTAAACGTAAACCAGCATAACATCTAGTGTCACATACTCGATCTGACAGATCGAACATCTGTGCGACTTTTGAAATAATACTCCAAGAACAAAAACATATTCAGATTGGTATGGAATTGTTATTTAACAAATGACTATTATTTGACTAAAGTCATGTATATCGTGACACATAGGATGAGCCGGTTCATGCACATATTACCATTAAATTATTATTTAATATTTGATATATACTCATTTCAGATCATTATTGCTGGAGGAACAAACATGTTAGACTATAAAGATAATGCGTCAAATGTTGGCGAATGCGCTGAAGTATGGGGACCTATGGAGGAGATTTTGAGTTCAGCAATTTATCCTAATGACACCGATAGGGTAGACTATTATACGTTTGCTGATCATACTCTTGCGTTTGGACTTGCTCATGTGGCAGGTAATACAACATTATCTACATTAATAAATATGTGCATATGAGTTTGGGGTTATGAGATCTGTTTTAAAATCATGACATTTTAGGGGCAGTACAGTGTGCTGAACAAGACAGGATGATGCGCTACTACCGGAAACACACATTTTATGATATTATATATAGCCTGAAATTTAAATATTTTGCATACAACAAAAAGCAATAATCTAGGCTCGTATAATTGACGTCACTATGACCTCATTTGGATGGTAATTATTCATATGCCCTGTAGTGAAATGAGAAATAATTGTCATTCTTCAATAATGTATTAATTTTATTGACTGTTTACAAATCGCATGTTAAGTCAACATGGTTACCTAATCAATGTAGAGTTTATTTTAGGGAGCGACACTCAATGCACATATATAAGTGTTCGCTGTTTTGAAGCCATACAATACTGCAACAACTATAATTATTGACATACATGCCGGGTAGTTTAGTATGATGTAGACAAACAGTATAATGTTTAGTACATTGTATCTTGTAGAAAAACATTCATATGCAACAATAACTGTGAGTAAGATAATCTTTTAAGTAGTTGCCACAATATGCATAACTACTGTCTCTATAATTCCAATCAATTACAAAACAATATTTCTTTTGTAACTACTAATGAAGATGAAAACAGTGGCAGGATATTCTTTTATGGTGACACAAAGTATTTTTTAAGTATTTTAGATGTCTAAAATTAAGCGGTTGGGATAAATTAAAATCATAAAACTTGTAGTTTTCATCACTGTACAAACGTGGCAAATGTTACCTGTACATGTATACATAAGTTGTTGTAACGTACTCACGTGTACATTTTAGAAAATTAAAACAAATCAAAACAGGTATTTTCTATTCATGAGCAGAGGTATACCTTAACAAGTATTACGGAAAAATATCACTATCATATGAGCAACATGCATTTCAGTCTCAACGATTCGTTTCAATTTATCAAACATCTCTAAAATGTCTGACATGCAAGCGAATTATTCAAATCCATCATATAAAATGCAATGAGAAGATAGAAATGCATTATCTAATTACATAAGTTGAATTCCGGAACATTATCATAAAACATGATTTAGAAATGTATGGTATGTACAATTTCTGTGTTGCGATATTACATGCGACAGATCAGTGTATGCAACTAAATCCACCACCACTCTCTTGCGTGTAAATACAGGCGTTGCAGCTATAATACGTGGCCGCTGCCCAGATACTCCGAACTACCTCGTAGGACCCATGGTTATTGAATATGCTTTAGAGAATGGCGGGACAGCACTTATGCCTGACACTGATGGAGAATTAGGCCCAATAATTCGTGTTGCGTATGTATTTTTGTTTCTCCGCTTTATCACATTCTTGTGTTTGTATTAAACAAAACATATTTACAAAAAATATATTAAAACTTATATTTTGTATAATATAATATATTATGTATAATGCAATTACCTGCGAATTAGTCTGAGCTATAAACAGTATGTGCTCGGCGGTTTCAAAGAAACAAAAACATATTTATTCAATATTATTAGCATTGCTAATTGTGGAAAAAGATGTGTTGTTAAATGTAATGTTTTTATTTCTTGCTTTTCACAGGTCCAAAGGAGAACATCCAATTTGCTTCACGCCTTGATTATTAATAATTCAATAATGTAATTAAAATATATCTATCCATCTATAATGAATTTGTATTTGTTTAAAATTACACAACACACGCAAAGAATAGAACGCATATAACCCATATAAAACACTAAATCACGATTCTAGAAATAATTTAAAAAAGAAAACACATTCCTGGCCACGACGTAGTGGAATTTATTCAAACCTGAACTAAGGTTACTTAAGCCATCCAATAAATCGTCCATTTAGGAATAAGATAGCAGGGGAATTGTTTTCAGTATCCGAACAAAACGGCAACATCGTTCATCGTTGTGCATGTATATAGTTCTTCGTTTTTTAAGCGCATGCAAAGTCACGTTTGAGGGTTTATTTATCGTCACAAAAAAGGGTAGTTAATTGAGTTATTGTTAAGTTAGTAGCAAGTATTATACTGTTACAGCTTTAGAGAGCGGGCATTGTATCCTAGGCAATTACCTAATATCACCATGGAAGCATTGCAGTTTTCATCTGATGGGAGAACTTTATGTCTATCTGCCCTAACAAAAACATTATACAAAGGAAAGGATCAACTCTTCCAGAACCACTTGCGACAATGTATACCATTATCCTTTTGCACATACACGAATAAAAGTGTATCTGATCCGCAATACGTAGAATGACACCTATTAACAGTTTATCAATCTTTGTCATTTGAAAATTGGAAAGTTCACTTAACCACGATAGGTTTTATTATGTTTTTAGCAACATCATTTCTTCTTAAATAAAGTCGATATGTGTGAGATATCGCATGACTACCGAGGCGATATCCATAATATTGACCGACGCCGAAGGCAGAGGTCGATATTATGGATATCGTCGAGGTAGGAATGCGATATCAAACTCACACAACGAGAGGATGTCCCTCTACTATAGAGAAATAACCCTTAAAACATAATAGAACCTTCCAAAACCTTTGTAATGAAGCGAGTGGACGATATCAGCATTGATGTATTAGTCCGGCAGAAGGAAGGGCTCTTTTGGCAAAACCTTGTAATAGGGTCCATAGTTTTTTTTTTATTGTCCAAAAATATTGTCCATGTTGTTAGCTTCACCAAACCACCTGTTGGCTTTCTGTCTGCATTGGGCAACTTGCAGTACAAGGGCATATGTCTGTGTTTATGAATACAAATAGTTTTAGTACAGGCGATTTGTGTTATTAATGGTTTGAGTATCTAATAGGTCCTTTTATATTTTTTCTGTTACCCCTTCATGGCCTTTATTTTATCCCATATGAAGAGAGTGTATAATTCAGAGCAGTGTTTGAGTTTTATTTGGGTATATCTAAAAACATGTTGGTTCTGTATATATGAAACCTCATAGAATAAACGGATGCATAACTAGTCCAAAACTCGTTTGTAAAACTTTCTCTGTTATATTGTCTTGTTTTAAAATTGTTATTATAATACCATACTCATTCCGTAATCGTAATGCGAA